CAGGATTTTTTATAGAAATTTATATTTATATTTAAAGGAATTATAGGAATTACAGTTTTTAGGAATTATTATTTTTAGGAATAATTTGAGGAAAAATTGTTCAAGTTTTTGAAATACCAGTAATTTTGGTTGTGACTAACTTTACAGCATGAAATAGTGTTTCTCTGAATAAAGGTTCACATAAGTTTGAACACTTGAAGAAAATGTATAGGCTTGTAAATAGAGCCATTGTAATTTGCTGTACTTTTGCAAGTATTGACCTTCATATCAATGGCCCTGAATAGACAATCCAAAAACAGTGTTCATTCTATGCTATATTTAGCATAGAATGAAGCATATAATTTAGCATATAATGAATGAATTCGAAGTACTGAATCGTAGTGTCCAATAAACTACAAACTACAAAATCAATATTTAAAAAACAAAAGCTTTCTTACATAAAATTTCCTAGAAAGACAACTTTGGCAACACAATTGGCAAACAATACTATTTTGGCTCTGCCTTCCCAAAAGCCAAACCTTTTATGTTGTTCATTGACTATAATTTTCTGGACATTACTAAAAATTGTAGTGGTAGCATATCTTGTTCTTATTCTAGATTTCACTGGGCATGCTTCTGTGAGTTTATTGATATTTACCAACTCAAGGAACTGGGAAAATGAGAATCACCTCTAATATCTTTGGTATTGTCTCAAAGTGCTCAATCTTTAGCACGTAGTAAATAAATTGTCTGACTGAAAATTGAGGTGATCCCTGGTTGCATACACTTTTGGTTTCTACTCCAATGTGTTTCTGTTCTTTGAAAAACAACATGATTATGCCTTACCTAAATTAAATTGATTTGATCTCCACAACCATCCCATAGGATAGTCGCTGTCATCATCACTGTCATCATGTCATCATCACTGTCATCATGTCATCATCACTTTCATCCCCATTTTATATGTAGTGGGGAAATGCTACAGTGCCCTCTAAGTACAACAACCTGGCAGGCTGTCCCAGAAGTCCGGGAGTTGAAAGGCTCATAGACAAACTAAGATGCCCAAATCAGCTAGTTTGTTGAGTCAATTTATAACATACAGTAAGAAGAAGTGGAAAGAGACTGGGCAGATTAAGGCATTTAGTAAAAGCAGATGGAAGGACCACCCTATCTCTGGGTTGCTCAGAGTTCCTATGTTCTGACTCTGTGTCATCTGCCTTCACTGCAGATGGTGTGGTTACAAGGACTAGAGTTGAGGGCACACAAGGATGTTCAGAAATGGAAGGTCCATGATGCCACTTGCTCTTTTGGAGAAATAAAAGGCAAACATGCATGGCTATAGCTGTAGCTTGGTGATGACCTGGTGAATAGCAGTAAATGTTTTAAGCAGAGGACAAGTGGGCTAGAATAGGTGATACCAGTGCATGAGCAGTTTGAAGCAGATAAAGCTGATCCGTGTTTCATGAATATTTAAGGTTTCCTTTACTTTCCATCTCTTTTTATTGAAAATCATAAAATTAACAGTCTGTTATCTCACCAGGAAAAACAGGTTTATTTGGGAATAGCAGAGAATTACAATCCAAGACATGCAAGGCAAAGCAGAACTATAGGCATGTCCAGAGAACAAAGGAGAGGAACAGCCTTTTATAGAGGAAGGTGCTGAGTTAGGAGGGCTGTTTCTAAGCAAATGTCCATTGGAGTAAACTGGGAGTCCCACATATCATGGCTTCACATTGGCTGGGCTATAGCAGGAAGAAAGAAGGTGGAAGCCTTCTCTCTGCTGGGTGGTAAAGTAGCTAAAACAGAATGGCATCTGTCCTCTGATGGGATCTGAGATTTATGAGGAGTAGTGGGCATGAGAGCTTCTCTTGCAGGCCTCCTGACACGATGTCGGTGGGGTTTCTTTAATTTTCAGACTATCTACAAGTACACTCTCATTGGTTTGTTTTATCTTTTTAATGTGTTTAATACATAAATGCCTATTCACTCTATGCTTAACATATCCTGTGGCCTAATGATGTACTTAACTTTCTGTATTTAACGTATCTTACGAGTTTAATCTATCCCATTTGTTTTTCTTGTCCTTTAAAGCAAACTCAAAAAATTTTAAACAACACAGCAAACACATATTTCATTATGGATGAAGCACATACCTGAGGAATAGTGCCGTCAAGCCGCTTGCCCAGGGTCCCTATTTTCAGTGCGTGGCAGAGTCAGGGGTTCAAATATGGTACAGAAAATCTGCCTCCAAGCCGGCTTCTTAATCACCATCCTGTATTGATTCTTACTTTGCCTGAGAAAACACAGTTAGTATTCTGACCTCAAGTCTAATTCTCCTCCGCTAACCACTCTTATACATACCCCTGGGGCTAGAGATTTGTCTTGCTCATCTCTGCATTCTTATTGCCAAGCACAGGACCTGCACAAATACTTGTTGACCAAAGAGAGTATCCTATTTTAACTTTCGCATTTTTTCTGGATTAAGTTTAAATGGCCTGAATAATTACAGTTTAACCCTTAAGAAAATTTAACCTTTGGCATTTCAAGTTACATTATCTTCAGTATTTGATTTTAAACTGAGTTAACCTAAAGAGATATCTAGTTGCTAGAGAGCAAAAGATAAGGATCCATGAATTCAGATCTACCTCTGATTGTGAAACTGACCCTTTCAAAGGAATTCAGTTGTATCTCTATGCTTCATTTTCTCCAGTAGGAGGTAGCCCTAGTAAATCTTTCACCAGGCACTGTTATATTTACTATTCTTCCTATTACTACCATGCCATTTAAAAAAAATAATGGTTTCTGCATTACGGGTTAGAAATTATTTTTTAGAAGATAACGAATTCTATCTGTACATTCTTAAGATTAACTATAAACATAGTTACATGATTAAAAATAACAAATGTTTATAACCTTTTAAAGGCACATTTTATGCTGCATTTGGACATGCTTGGCATCCTGCAATTTGCTAAGTATTCTACAATTTTCCTCATCCAATTGACTTTTCTGAAAAAAAAAAAAAACTTAACAGCCTTCTGAAAGAAGCTGAATTATGCTCTTAAAATATTTTTTTGGCCCATACTCATTTATATGTGTATATATGTTTGCATGTATTTGTCCCACTTAGGAAAATCTTGTTCCTGTCTAGGAAGTTGGCAATGATCTCACTGTATACAAGACCATTTGGAATTCAACATAGTGGTTTTTCAACCCTAGCTGTCCTTTAGAATTACCTGTAATTTTAAAATTACTGTATCAAAAAAACACTGATTCCCCAGCCCTACATCAAACCACTTATGTCAGAATCTGTAGGGTTGGAATTTGGGCAGCTGTATTTTTAAAAGCTCCCCAGACATTCTGCAAAATACCTGACGAGTATTCTTCAAAGCTGTCAAAGTCATTACATACAAGGAAAGTCTAAGACAATGTCAGGAGGCAAAGGAGACCTGGTGACTAAATGTATTATGGTATCCAAAGTGAGATCCTGAGACAGAAAAAGGGGATTTGGAAAAAACTACTGAAATCTGAATGAACTATGGAGTTAATAGTAAGGTACCAATGTTGGTTCCTTAATTGCTTCACATGTACCATGATAATCTAAGATGTTAACACAGGGAAAACTGGTTGAGGAGCATCTGTACTGTCTTTAAAACTTTTCCATAAGTCTAAACCTACTCTAAAATAAATAGTTTATTCTAAAAATATATCTAAAATGGAGCCAGTTTTAAGACTCATTTATGTGGGATCTGCTTGCCTTGTACCCTGTGAAATACTGAGCCCAATTGCCAACTGGCAGCATGTGTCCTAAAACGTGTCTCCCAGAAACGTGGGCTGCTGTATCAGGACAGAATACATTTCTAGAGGCACATTCAGGAAACACAAATGCACTAATTACAAGAAAATTGGGAATGACATATTTTTGCTAAGAGCTGTTGTCAGTTTCTTATCTATAAAGGAGTTTCAGACCTGGTCAGAAAGATTTTCAGTATTGAGTTAATTTTTCCCCTTCTGCCTCTCCCACGATGATTAAGAGGAAAGGAAAACAAATCTTTTAGTCTTCCATAATGAAGTCTACCTGGATTTGGCCCAGTCACACTTCTTTTCATGACCATTAGAGATATTCGTCATCTGTGTATATCTCTAGAGGAAAAGTCAGAATTGTGCCTGAAGAGATTATTCTGCACAAGTAAACATTTGACAAATAGTAATTGTTTGGAGATGGTGTTTCAAAAAGTTGTTTTATTTTTATTTTTTGCATACAGTATCTTGTTTGGTACAAATGCCACCAATTTATAGTCCAGAATCCCTATGCATCGTAGAATTAACAAAAGGTATTTACAGCCTGTAGTTACTCAGATTGCAGTCCAGCTCCCCAACTCCATGCAATTTAAGGTAAATAATTTCTCTTCTCTGAGCTTATCTCAGTTTCCCAACTGTAAAATGCGTAGATTGGGCTCAGTAACCTCCAATGCCCCTGTCAATTCGGACACTGAGATTTTTTAAGGACTTGGAGAAACAGACTGGAGAGATTTAGGATTTAAGGCTTTGAGTTCTGATAAGCAGGATGGTATTGAAGAAGCTGTTTTCATGTTTGTGTTTCTCAGGCCGGAAGAGTAAGTGATAGGGGTAAGGATGCGTGAAGGGGAAGAGTAGGACAGTGACTCGTAGGAGGATCAACTCAAGGATTTTTCCCTGAAAGGGTATGTAGAGCATTCGGTTGCTAGGCAACCACTCCTCTTCAAGGAGAGTGGAGGCCCCCAGTCAGAGGTGTTTACATTATTGCCTCCTCTTAATTTAGCCAAGATGCCTTCTCGAAATTAATGAAATATGTATGCTTTAAAAGTACAGCTTTCTTGCAGTCAAGGTTTGGCAAGTGCTATAGCTGCCTTCTGCTCGCGGAGGGTTTTCTTTTTCCTGTTCTCAGGCGCGATGTGGAACACCTCTCTGGCAAAGCCCCGCCGCCGCGCGTTGCCGGGCAGAGTTGGACGCCGCCGGGCCCTCGGCCCCGCCCTGCCCTCGGCCCCGCCCTCCCTGGGCCGGACCCGGGTCCTTCGCGGGCTGCTCTCGGCCGCCATGGGCCCGGAGATGGAGCCGCTGCTCTTGGCCTGGAGCTATTTTAGGCGGAGGAAATTCCAGCTCTGCGCAGATCTGTGCACGCAGATGCTGGAGAAGTCCCCTTACGACCAGGTACTGGCCGGACCTCGTCAGCCTTCTGGATCCCGGCGATGAGGCTGAGGGCTCTGGGGAATCCTCAGGCCCCAGGGTGTGGTTTCGGAGAGGAAAGCCCAGAGCGCGGTTGACCCTGTCAGCAGAGGCACCTGGAGCGAGACCCCCTGGACCCTTGGCTGGCGGCTCCCTGCCCGCTGTGTCCCCGAGTCCCCGCAGGATCCACGAGCCCTGTGCCCTGAGCGCTCCCCGCCAACTTCAGCCCCTTTCCTTTCAGTGTCCCCTTAAGGAACATCAAAGCCCTGCATATTACTTGGGTGAGGAACTGTGATAATTCATTTATACTTGCGCAAGAACGGGCTCTTCAGCACGCTATGTGTGCGATATACATTTCTAAAACAATTACGCATAAACAAAGATCCGTAACTTTCCACCCCGTTAAAATAGCTGCTTTTTTTCTTTTAGACCAAATGTGTGATTTTTCCACTTCATCGTAGGACTGTTGTCCAAGAGTGAAGGAGACTTTGGTTCTGGGACATTAGTGCAACTTGAGGATAATGCAAGTTAGACAAGTGAGAATCTAGGAGGGGACCAAGTAAATTTATTAGGAGGAAGGAATGGGACGAAAAATTCGCCTGAAAAAGCAATGATAGCATTGATTAAAAGAAAACTTAAACTACAGTGGTAATTTTGGTGCTCTTGAATAAGTGTGATATTAAAGTGAGTGAAAAAGGGCATACACGTGTGTGAGATGACTATGGAAGCTTCTGGAAGAGGCAAAATGGAGATACAGGAGAATAGGAGCAGGGTTGTGGCAGATTGTTAGTGCTTCTGGTAAATGCAGAATGTACCTATATAGTTCTGGCTTCCCAGCTTTTCCTCTAGTGTTGTTGCCTTGGAGATGTTGGAAAAAAAGGAAAATTGAGGGGAGTTACATAAGCAGAGGCATGAATGTGAACACTGTTACTAGGCTCTGCCTTAGCTCCCAGCAGATGGATGAAAGATGACATTGATATGTTGAGGTGAACAGTGTGGCCTTCAGATAGGTAGTATGTCTCCCCCCACAGCAAACCATAATGGTGGGAATGCTAAGCTAGGTTTTGTTTGTGTTAGTTCATATTAGTTTACTACGTTTCCATAGAGCAGCATTTTTCAAAGTGTGTTCCTTGGCTCAGTAGTCCCCTGATGCCCCTCACAAAAAAAAAGATTTCACAAAGGCCATGACAAAATATTGGCCCTTTTGCATTTGTACAGAAAAAGTTTATTACACTCTGTGATGTACCAGATGTTGTTCTAGGCACAATGGTTTGCAAGAACTTTACATGCTATTTCCATTCTTCCATTGTGTTAGGGTAGTTTCCATCGTGTGTTCTACCGAACAAGAGTCCCAGGAGCTGCTTAGTGAAAGAAAGTTTCCACATTAAATGCATTTGGGAAATGTATATTCCCTATTTAGAGATTCAAGATTCATACTAAAGGCTTTGAGAAGTTCTGAAGAAAAATGTAATTTTACCTAATTTTAATTAATACCATAGTTCTGAAATTTATTTGACCATTGATTCGTTTTTTGGCAGCAAGGGTCAGATATCTTTGTAGTTATACTAGAGACTTGTTGTCATGTTGGAAAATATAGACAAAGTAGCAGTGTTTTTATTAATGGTTAAAATCCTATAATCTTAAACACATCATAGTGACATTCAGTATTGTGCCTATGAATTCAGATTTAGTTTGTTTTAGGTACTGTGATCAGGATTTTATATGTGTTTAATTCAGTGACCTTTTATTGAGTGCTTGCTACTTCCCAGGCAAAAGTTATATAAACTATATGAATTTCTATGCTTAGAATAATCTTGCAAAGTAGGTAGCAAAAATAATAGTTAATATTTATTGAGTATTTTCTCTGCGTCAGGCCCAGAGGTTTTTATACAGTATCTCATTTCATCTTCAGCTATTTTAGGAGGTTGGCACTATTTCCCCCATTTTACAGATTGAGCACACTGAGGCACAAGGTAAAGTAATTTGTCCAAAGTTACAAAGTTGGTGAGGCATTCCCTTTGTCTCTATTATGCTTCCTTTTTGGCGATTATGTAGCTTAATATTTCAAAGCTGTGTGTTTCTCAACTTTTTCCAGTACATTTTCCCATCAACTGTGCTTTTTTCAAGATTTTTACCTGTATGGTAAAGTTTACATATCTGTGTACTCAGATTAAAGGCTCTGGGAAGTCCTAAAGGAAGGAAACCAGCCTAATTTTGATTAAATAAGACAATATTCTGAAACCCAGTTGACTACTGGTTCCTTTCTGGGGGGACAGAGGGACAGATACCTCCCTTATTATCCTGGGGAGATGTCACTTTGGGAATGCATGGCAAAACAGCAGTGTTTATTAATGGTTAAGAAGGGGCCATAGAGGAGATCTTGATTCCTTTCCTTTTACCTAGGAAGAATAAGGTAAGTGCTTCATTTACAATCTCCTGAATTAGCAGCGAGCAATTCATGTTAAGAGCTTGGGTCTTTTTATTTGACCTCTTGTATACAGTTCCCACTGGGCCTTATTGGGAGATTAAGACTTGTTACAGGGTATGTATGATGGAACCATGCGGTAATGATAATGAAGGAAAAAACACAGGTTCACACTGGGAAATACTGCTGTTATCATTGGTTAGCCAATTGATGTGGTTAAGATCATTATGGCAATAGGTTTTATTGGGTTCTGGCCTATTCCATTGTCCTGTTGTGGATTTGAAATAATACTTCGTAATGTGATACATAATTGATTCTTAATACCATAGAAACTTTTTAAAATGCCATTCTTTGTTACTGATGAACAGGGTTGATATGTTCAGCCCCTATAAATATCAGAGTAGGTCTAGAAGAATCAGTGCCAGATACAAAAGAAATTTGTGATATCCTGTTCCTTTTCTTAATCCTTTTTATTTGTTTTGGTGAGGTAGTTTATTTCAGTAGGAACTATACATACTTCCAGAACAATGAACAGCATTTCAATAGGAATGGAAGTTTGAACTTGTAACGTTTCCAGACTGGGCTTTGACTNCATGCGGTAATGATAATGAAGGAAAAAACACAGGTTCACACTGGGAAATACTGCTGTTATCATTGGTTAGCCAATTGATGTGGTTAAGATCATTATGGCAATAGGTTTTATTGGGTTCTGGCCTATTCCATTGTCCTGTTGTGGATTTGAAATAATACTTCGTAATGTGATACATAATTGATTCTTAATACCATAGAAACTTTTTAAAATGCCATCCTTTGTTACTGATGAACAGGGTTGATATGTTCAGCCCCTATAAATATCAGAGTAGGTCTAGAAGAATCAGTGCCAGATACAAAAGAAATTTGTGATATCCTGTTCCTTTTCTTAATCCTTTTTATTTGTTTTGGTGAGGTAGTTTATTTCAGTAGGAACTATACATACTTCCAGGACAATGAACAGCATTTCAATAGGAATGGAAGTTTGAACTTGTAACGTTTCCAGACTGGGCTTTGACTCAACCTTTAAACACTGCTCTTTCACTGTATTCTTTTTCCAGACGCAGAAGGGCAAGAAACAGAGGGCTGGGTCTGTAAGCATGAAGGACATTAAGGTTCTGGTCTGCTGAAAGAAAGAAGGGTTACTGGTTAATTTATCATAGTTATTTGATAAAATACAGTAGGAATAGGTAATTCATGGAGGCGCTGTCTGTTTTCAAAGCGTTCTTTAGTGACTGGACGAGTAGTTACAAGTTGTAAGATACTAAAGGGAGAAACGCAGAATGGTCTTAGAGGGAATGCTTTCTCTTACAGCCCATGCAGATCGTCCTGATTAGTTGCTTAACCTGATTACTGTTCTTTATGTTCCATATGTCAGAACACATGGCTTTAAAACCAGTCCAGAATTTTTAGATTTATCATTATTAAACAGTTCATAAAAACATGGAGGTTTTTCAGGCAGTGGGATTTTTTTTTTAAAGACAATGTGCTTTTAGTAGTGGGATAGATTTCTGATAAATTTTCAATTTATTAAAATCAGCATTCTGAGAGTGGGATTGTCAGCTATATATCAGAGAGGGGTAATTCACATTCTCCTTCCCCACCAGCAATCTCTGCTTATAATGATGTTACAGAGAGGAGCAGGTATCATTGTAAATGATTTGAAGGTGGAGAAAAGGTTGACACGCACCGGTTTTGATGATAGATATGGACCTGGGGGTCCCCAATGAGCTATATTTTGGTAGTTGGTTGAGACAGTGCTCCAAGCCAAAAAATATTTTCTTATGATTATCTGATTTATTTCCTTTTTGGGACCATGGGGACTTAGCCAGACTTATTTTGATTCTATACTCTGTCGAACAGTTCATTTTATGAATTTCTATTCCTGCTGAATTATACAGATTGGATTCCCACTTAGCTACTTGATCACTAGCTCCCCCTAAACCTTCTGAAATCCATCCATTTCTTGTTCCCTTAGATTTTTTTCCTTCCTGTTATTGCTAAATTCCGAGTAATGACTTAGTACTTAAAGAGCAGACTGGGTAGACTCATTAGGTAGAGTAAGTTTTGGTGGCAGTTAGGAAGTCGCATTCCGAATTATCTGGAGAGTTAATTCCCCGAAGTAATAGCAACAGCCTAAGAGAAAGCCTTACCCTCGGGAGGAAGGAAGGAAGCAAACTGATGTGCATTGAAGGTGATGCTAATGAGATTTTGCTGGTTCTAGGCAGCGCCAGTCCACTTTCCATGTCCTCTTACTCCCCTCTCTTTGAAGGGGAGGCAAAGCGAGGTTTTAATTTGATGTGCCAAAGCTGAGAGTTAGTTCTGATTTCTGAAAATGGAAGTGATACAAAGTTTGGTGCTTTTCTGCTCATTATATATATGTTTTGATCCGGAAATTCTGTGTGACTGCTATTTCCTGTTACTTTGTTACCACCTTACTCTTCTTAACAATGATAGTGTGTGTGAAAGCGTACTCTGAAAATTATGAAATATTCTTAAAGATGCAAGGTTTTATTTTAGAAACTATCTT